TCGGTGTCTGGGGCTGCCCAGCAGCTCAGCCCCCGGGGCAGGGCAGAAGGAGCAGCCCCAGCCCCAGGCACGTGGCAGAGATTTTCTGTGTGTGTGTGTTTGGAGATATTCCCTGCAAGCATACGTCTGATTTCCTGTGCAGAGGAGAAAAGACTTACCAGCTGAGACTGATTCTTGAAGCTGGAGAAGTGTTTGTCAGATGTCAGCTCCCCTGGCCCTGCCCAGGGATAGCTCATCAGCCTGGGAGGGACAGTGCTGGCACCAGCCAGTGCTGCTGAGGGTTTGGTGCATTCTGAGCTTGATTTCAATTTTAGTATTTTTCTTGGAATGTTTTTGCCCCCTGCTCCAGCACAGTGTCCCCGTGTCCCTGGAGTGGAGCCCTTCCTTGGCTGGCCAGTGCTGGTGTGGTGGTGTCTGAGTGCTCCTGGTGCCCCCAGCTGTCCCCACCCTGCTGCCTCTGGCTGCAGCAGCCCTGCAGCAGCCCTGCAGCAGCACTGCAGCAGCCAGGGCTGAGCGATCCCACTCCCTGGGGAGGCTGTGCTGCATCCCACACCTGAGCTGGCTGCAGGCACAGAATGAGGATATTTACCCAACTTCTGAAAACTTTATTATTTCCCCTTAAAACCCACCTACAGCCTCACTATAGAAACACTGGAAACCGGGCTTTAGCAGGCCTGAGAGACTGCAGCATTATCCATCTTCTGTAAATACTGTGGAGCAGTTGGAAACCTTTGTATGATCCCAGCTCAGCTGGAAAACAGCACCACATTCCTGCTGCCCTTTGGGATCATTTCCCCTTCTTGTGGGGTGGGAGGCAGCAGCTGTTGAAACAGTTTGGTTTAAGTGTTTCATGAGATAAAAGTGTAATTTGCTGGATTTTAAATATCTCACGCATCAGATCAGCATAAGCACTACAGGTAAACCAGCCTTGCTCTGCTCCACAGAGAAGCCTCTTCCCTCCCCAGGAGCCTTCCAGAAGCTTGGGCTTGGAGTCTCTGATGGTGCAAAATCCGTGGAGGTTTGTGTGCTGGAAATGAAGCTTCAGCTCAGGAGCAAAGCTCATCCCAGGCTTTAAATCTAATAACAGCCTCCTGACAGCCTCCGAAGGCCAGGCACCCTCGGACAGCTCCGAATCCCACCCGAGCCCCGTCAGCACGAGACTCATGCACGCGTGTCTGGTTGTGCCTAACGAAGACAAATCTCTTCATTAAGGGGCTCGGCTGCCGGGCAGCCGGAGGTTTGGTGACGGGAGCCTGGCTGGAGCTGGGGCAGCCCTTGGCTGCTGTCCCAGGGAGCTCTGCAGCCCAGCCCGAGCCTGGGCTCCCTGTGGGCCAGGAAGGGCTGTCAGCAGCGCTCAGCCCAAACCTTCCGTCCCACTCAAAGGCAGCGAGCTGCTTTCCCTCCTGGAGGAGTCTCAGCCGACAAGAAATCCTGTCCTTGGCTGCGTTACCCACCGCTGCCTGCTGCTGCTGAGCACTGATGAAGCTTCTCTTGGATTTCTGTCTCCAAACTGTTGCTGCATCCATTTTTTTTACCCCTTTCAAGACAGCCTTTATAAAAATAATATATTTAGCAATGACTGGCGAGTGCTGAAGCTGGCAGAGCTGTACCATAGAGCAGGGCAGTGCTGAGCCTGCGAGGCCGTGGCAATGGCCGAGGGTGAGGAGGCTCTCAGAAGGCTCTAGGGTGAGATGCAGCCTTTTTCTTAAAAGAAAGAAAAAATCTAGTCTTATGTAAGACAAAACATCTGCTAGTGCATGAGTAATGCCTTCCCTCCTCCCTGGTGTGGCAACCGAAGTCCATGGGAATTGTGTGAACGATTGTTTCCTGTAAGAAGTTATACACTGGTCACAGGTTTTTGGGGACAAGCCCTGTGTGCAGCCACACCTTCCATTTTGCTGCTTGCTCGTGGCTTTGGATCCTGCTGCTCCTGGCCCCGCTGATCCTGCCCGTCCCAAGGCTCCCACCTCCTCATGTCCCAGCAGGACTCCTGTGGCTGCCAGTCTGCCCAGTGCCACCCAACAGGGAATGGGGCTAATTCACGTCTGTGCTGAATTTCTATTGATATGGCTTGAATTTTGGTGTAGTTTCCCTGCCTGGAGCTCAGTTCTGGACACTCTGGGTCGGTGTCCCTGGCCAGAGCGGGAGGAGCTGCTGGGTCCAGCACAGGTGAGTGCTCCTGCCAGATGGATGGGTGCAGGTGTCTCTCAGCTTCCAAACGCTGCACCAGCCATGCTCTGGGCTTCTGCTTTCCATGGTCTGGGACATTAATTGCTGCCAGAATTACTAATGAGCTTCAGCTTTTAGCCTGAGTGCTGCAGGCTGCTCCTCCAAGGTGGAGATCATGGAGTCAATTAAGTAATTACCTGGTGTTTCAGCTGCCAGCACCCGAGAGGTTTTGTTTTTCACCACTGGCATCAATCCCAACACACATCTCACCCAGACTCATCAGCAGTGGTTTGTGCACTACTGGAGCAAGCTGGAGCTGCCTTTTCTGCATGTGTTCTGGTGACAAATGGCTCCGTCTCCCTCTGTTTAGTCTCATTCTGGCACATAAATCCAGGTGTAAGCAGGCTAAGCTGAGCAGAAGCCAAAACTGCCTCTTCAAAATTCTCTTGTTGCGAGTGTTTTACCTCAGTGATGTGATGAGCAGCAGCTCACCAATGGAAAGCAGAGCGGGCTGAGCTGAAGGTGACAGACAGTGGCACGAGGAGCAGCCAGACTCTGCTGAGGCCCCACGGGCCAGGGAAATGCATCTCCAGTGGCTCCTGGCACTCATCAGCCTCGTGGCAAGGCAGTGCTGGGGCGTTCTGTGCACAGGGATGGGGCTGGTGGGAGGGATCCCTGCCCTCGGGCACCTCTGAGCACAAGCTCCAGCGGCACAAATGCAAAATCCATGGCACAGCATGCACGCCTTGTTGGTGAAAGCTGTGCTCTTAATTAAATCAGGGTTGGGAAGTGCTGAGGGACCAGAGCCCCACGAGGAGCTCTCAGGCCTCTCCTGCAATTCCCAGTAATTTACAGGGAATAGAAATGAGCCTTCATAGGAGCAGGGGCATGTCTTGTCTTACCCTGCAGAGAGATGGAGTGGAGGGAGGTCTGCTACCCTTGCATTGCAAGGGCTGAGAACTGCTTCATGTTCAGGAACAGGGCAAGGCAGCAATGAAGTGGCAAATACAGCAGCAGAACAACCCAAACAGTTTTTAGCAAAGGATGAAGCCCCAGCAATGGGCATTTTGGTGGCAAATCAGCAGCCATATGGCACAACAGACTGACAACAATTTGTATCCAAACTCTGCTCCCAACATCCCTTTCCTAGTCCCACGTCCCTTTCCTAGCTGAAAAAGGCAAAATCTGTGCAGGACAGCTGGAATGTCAACTAAGAAGCACTTCTGTTAATGCATTGACTCTCTTGCCTTTGGATTTCACCCAATTTACCCTTTTTTCTGCATGGGAATGCAAATGGTTGTTTCCTATTTGTCAGCCCCTGCCTGTGACGTCCATCACAGGTCTCTGGTGGGGTACTGCAGTTACACACACAGAGTATCTGCACAGGGAATCACTGCTGGAAACTAGGCACTGGAAAGTCATCTCCCACTGAGAAGGAAGGCTCTTAGCCTTTCCTGGGGCTGGCATGCTGTTTCTGGGCTCTTGCTGGTACTCGTTCTCAAAATGCTCAGGAACCACATGTTAATTTAATTCAGGTTGTTTGTTTTGGTTTGGTTTGAGGGTTTTTTGGGGGGCTTTTTCTGCCTTGGTTTATTTTGAATGGTGGGGAAGGGAATTGCACCCAGGCTAAGAACCAAACAGCCAAAGAGTGACTCTAGGGCACAAAGCTGGCAATGCAATGCACTGCTGGGAGACAACCAGAGAGAATGGAAGGTATTACAGACCTATCACCGTGTCTAGGTGTGCATGGATTGTCCGTGTGGGAGTTTTTATACTGGAGTAGTTTAACGCTAGTGAGATTACTCATGATTTTCCCAGCATTTACTGGACCAGCATCAGTGTCCAAATGGGAGATACCTGCACGTGCAAAACAATGTCTCTGAAACATCACCCAGTGTCGCTCGTTGCTGTTGGCCGAAGGCAGCAAAGGCCAATTCAGCGCTGGCTCCTTCTCTGGCTGCCAGTGTCCGTGTCCCAGGTCAGGCTCTGCCCGTTCCCCTGCAGCCTCCGCTGCCCAGGGCTCTGCTCCCTTCCATTTCCATTGCCGTTCCCGGCACGTCTATCCCCGTCCCCGTTCCCGGCGGCTCCATTCCTGCTCCCATCCCCGCTCCCATCCCGTTCCCCGTTTCTCACCGTTTCCATTCCCGCTCCTGTCCCCGCTCCCGTTCCCCCTTCTCACCAGTTCCATCCCCGCTCCCGGCGGTTCCCGTTCCCCATCCCCATTCCCGTTCCGTATCTCCCGCTGCCGCAGTTCCCGTTCCCCATCCCCGTCCCCGTTCCGTATCTCCCGCTGCCGCAGTTCCCGTTCCCCATCCCCGTTCCTGTTCCCTATCTCCAGCTGCCGCAGTTCCCGCAGTTCCCGTTCCGGTTCCCGTTCCCTATCTCCAGCTGCCGCAGTTCCCGCAGTTCCCGCAGTTCCCGTTCCCCATCCCCGTTCCCCGCTCCCGTTCCGTATCCCCCGCCGCCGCAGCTGCGCAGCGCGGGCAGAAGCGCGGGCGGAAGCCGGCGGGGAGCGCGAGCGGAAGTGCGGGCGGAAGCGCGGCCGGAAGCCGGCGGGGAGCGCGGGCGGAAGCGCGGGCGGAAGCGCGGGCGGAAGCCGGCGGGAAGCGCGGGCGGAAGCGCGGGCGGAAGCCGGCGGGGAGCGCGGGCGGAAGNAGCGCGGGCGGAAGCGCGGGCGGAAGCCGGCGGGGAGCGCGGGCGGAAGTGCGGGCGGAAGCCGGCGGGGAGCGCGGGCGGAAGCGCGGGCGGAAGCGCGGGCGGAAGCCGGCGGGGAGCGCGGGCGGAAGCCGGCGGGGAGCGCGGGCGGAAGTGCGGGCGGAAGCCGGCGGGGAGCGCGGGCGGAGCGGGGCCGCGGCGGGAGCGACCGAGCCCGGCCATGCCGCTGCTGGAGCCGCCGTGGCCGCCCGGCCTGGCCCCGCTGAAGGTGCGTGCGGGCCGGGTCCCGGGGTTGTCCCGGGGTTGTCCCGGGCCGGGTCCCGGGGCGGGCGGTGCCCCGGCCCGGCCCGGCCGGCCCTGCCCGCCGCTCACCCGCTCTCCTTGCAGGCCGTGGATGACTTGCTGCGCTGCGGGATTTGCTTCGACTACTTCAGCATCGCCGTGATCATCCCGCAGTGCTCGCACAGCTGTGAGTGCCGCGGGAGGGCGGCGGGGCCGTGTCCCGCCGGACGGGAGGACAGCGGGGAAGTTCGGCCCGGCCGGTCCCGGGCGGGGATGTTCGGCCCGGCACGCAGAAGGCTCCGGAGCCTGCAGGAGAGATGGCCAGGAACGATTTACCAGGGCCTGGCATGGCTTCCCACGGTTCGGTTGGAGATGCAGAAGAAGCTTCCCCGGGAGGGCGGTGGTGCCCGGCGCAGGGTGCCCAGAGCAGCTGGGGCCGCCCCATCCTTGGCAGTGCCCGAGGCCAGATTGGGTGGGGTTTGCCGCACCCTGGGACAGTGGAAAATGTCCTGCCCATGGCAGGGGGTGCAACTGGCTGGGCTTCAGGGTCCCTTCCCACCCAAACCGTTCTAGGGTGCCTCGATTCTCTTTGCCGTGGAAGCTGGGAGGAGCTTGGCAAGATGGAAGCAGCCAGAGCCCTCCCTGCTGTAGTTCCTGCTGTAACACAAGCATGTGGCATCTGGCATTCTTACTTTAAATATCTTTCTTAACATCTTGAGGGTGGAACAAATGCAAAGCTCTATGTGCTGAGCATTAAGACCTCAAATTTTCCATGCTGCTCTGTCTGCCCTGCAAGATACCGACTGGAACCTGACCCCAAGTGCTTTGTTGAAGCCAGATTAGGAGGGAAGTACCTTGCCTTTTCCCACGTTAAAATAAATGCTTGTGATTGTTAGGTTCAGAAACTGTAGCACTTCCTTCCCTGAAGGGGGCCGTTGTCATTTGGCAGTGAAGTTTAGTTTAGCTTGGCAGAGCTGTCACCACTGAAGCCAGAGTGGGGAGCCACAGAACTGGGAATTCTCTTCACTGGCGGCTGGTGCAGCCATGGCTCCGAGCAGCAATCTTTGCACGTGGGCCATGGGAGGCTGCTGGGGTGTTGGATGCTGGCAGCCTGGGTCTGCCACTTCATTCCTGTTCCTACAGTTAAAGTTTGTTTCTTAATGGCTTTCTCACCCTATACCACTTCTTGCTACGTGTCTAGTAATTTTTGAGCATTTAAATGGATATGTGGTTTTAAGTGTTAATTGGTGCTTTAGAACAGGTTGGATTTGGCTTGGAGCAGCCTGGTCTAGTGGAAGATGCCCTGCCCATGGCAGGGGCAGGGGGTGGGATGAAATGAGCTTTAAGGTCCCTCCCAACCCAAACCATTCTGGGATGAATTAATGCTTCTGCTGCTTTTCTGATGCATTCTCAGAGGGCCTATGAAATATAGATCTTGTTCAGGAACTACTGCTGAAACTCTGACCTATGATGATCTAGTGAGGGAATTTTGTCCTGGAGAATGATGAGATTTTTTTAAATCCTTAAGTGGCTGTGAAAGCTATGGGATAAATTAACAAAGTGTAACAAACACAGAAATGTACTGTGACAGTGTGTTTCGCCGCCCAGCCTGTCGAGGCATCCTGTGATGGTGAGGTGACATTAAGCTGTCTCTCAGCATTTCAGTGCTGTCTGCCCTCCTTTCCAGCCTCTTCTCTCGACAGCAAGTTGGTATTGTTTTGGAAAGGGGCAGAAGAGCCTGGGGGAAAGGGGATTGTAAGTTTGTCTGGGGCTGTGCAGGCAGATGAAAGTGATCAGCATTAGTCATGTCAAAAACCCAGTTGTTGTGGGGGAGTGAGCAGTGCAGCCACTGCTGTAGTGGTGGGGGCTGAGGAAGGCTTTCTTGCACTGGGGAACAAAAGGAAGCAAACATCAGCTATCGGTGGAGGAGCTGATATTTGAAACGTGCTTGAATAAAATGCAGGTTCTTTTCCAACAATGATAATTCCATGTGAAAATGGTGTGTTTTCAATATTTGTGTGTTGTGGAGTAGCTTGTGTGTGTTGTACAACAAGGAAATACACAAGCAAGGATGTGGATGTGCACTTGGAATAATGCTCACAACGATGTGTTCCCTTTTCCAGATTGTTCCCTTTGTATCCGCAAGTCTTTGTCCTACAAAACGCAGTGTCCAACGTGCTGTGTGGTAAGTGTGGTTTTCCCCCTCAGTTTATTTTTAATCTTTTGGCAAATCTTAGGAGCTTTTGCCTTTGGACTGTGCCAAGTAATCAATTCTGATTGCATGGGCAAAGTGTGGTGCTCTTGCATCTGGAATTGTCCTGTTCCAGAGGTACTCCTTTGTCAGTGCAGGCAGAAGGGGATGGAGCATCAGGCCTGAGGTTTGGTCAGGACTCTGTACAATCTGTCACAAAACATTTAACATTAATTTGTTAAAATACTCCATGATTTAAACCAGCAGTGCTGAAACGTAAGCGCTTCATTTTCTGTGTGTGAGTGGCCCCATTTAATCTCAAAGTAAAAATAGAATAAAAAAGTAATAAAAGCTTTTTTAAAAATAAGAGCAGAGAGAGTTGCAGCGAGGTAAAAATCAGAAATTCTTTAAAAAGAATGAACTGAATGCACAGAGGCAACTCATAATTCATATTTTCATGCCATAATCAGAAGATTAACATCTCCCTTCATCAGTTTTCATGCTTTGTTGCTTAAGGTTCTTACCACCTTCAGAAGATGGTTTGGTTTGGTTTCCAAAATTATTAGACCTGTGCTGCAACAAACCATTACTGGAGCCTGGGCACACTGGGCTTTGTTGCTTTAGCTTTATGCTTTGTTTTCGCCTGTTACATTAATATCCCAGACTTAAGTTCTCAGGCAGTTACTTTAATATGAGATATTTTTGGGGAAGAAGTGTTTACACTTTAAGCATCTTAATTCCTGTAGCACTTTAGTGGGGGTAGTTGAGGCACCAAGCCAAGAAGCAAGTTATTGATCACTTGAACATTTTCTGGGCACTTGCTGTTTTCACTGCATTTGAATGTTTGTTTGTTTGGATTTGTTTTGGTTTTTTTTTCTTTTTCTTTCTTTCTTTTATAGGCAGTCTCGGAATCTGACCTGAAAAACAACCGGATTTTAGATGATCTAGTGAAGAGCTTTAATTCTGCAAGGTCTGTCTGCAATTTTATGGCTGCTCTCTCTGGCTTGGCAGCTGGCAAGGTGTGGCTGTGTGTGCCCCCAGGCTCAGAGCCCTGCAGAGGAGGGTGTGAGAACTGAGCAGAACAATTGTGGTGTCAAAGATGAATGTTTACCCTTTGGAAAAACCCTGCAGTGTTCTGGCTGAAGGTGACTGTGCACTCAAGTGATGTGGAGCTTTTACAAGCTTATTTTGGTTCTGTGTCTGGTTAGCTGCTCTGGAAGTTACAGTCTCTGCCAGTGTGTAGGAAGTCAATAGATATATCAGGATTCTGTGGGGGAAATAATGGGAGCAAAGATTTTCTTCAAGATCCTTCCTGTGTGTGCAGGGGAGATTCTGTCCAGTGGTTATGATCACCTTGCAAGAGCGTTCTTTTGGTGAAGTCACTGGCTAGAAAAAATACAGGCATTGAAAGACTAAAAACATGAGTTTTCTTGAGTAAGGAAAGTAATGGAGTGCTGTGTTTTCATCTCGATCTTTTAGCTCCTTTTCTGTTTGTTTCTAATTAATTTTTGAGCTTAACATCCATTTAAAAGACAGGAACAACAGAATAAATATGACTTGGTAAAATATCACAACAGTAGATACATGAAGCTCCTGGTATTATCTGGTTTCTTTTATGAGAAGCTACTCAGTGATTTGCTGGGAATTCTATGGATATTCCTGTCTCTGTAGAAGACAAATGCACTTTCATCTTTTTCTCTGAAATTAACTTGGAGCTGGAAGTCAATGAGACTCTTGGCTGTGGAAGTGAAAAGAAGCATAGTTCAGCTGATGGCTTTATTTCATGAGAGAATTTTTCTCTGATGAAGATCATAGAATGTAGATAGATCTAATCTTCCATATGACCACTACTAGATTTAATTGATTTATTTGAGTAATTTAAATCCTACAGTTCCCCTGTTTCAGCTTAAATTCTGATGCTTCCTAGTGATAAATGGATTACTATTTTTTTGTTAATGCCTGATTTTGTGTGGAACAAGTAGTGCTGACTTGGATCCATTATGATATTGAATTTAAATGTTAATTTTTTTTGGACTGCTTTAATGGATCAATATAAATCTTAGCAGTGAGAGTGGTTCAATAACCTTTCCTTTCGTGACTTGGAGTTCACTCAGTTTCTCAGATGGAGCTGGAGCAGTGGGGCTGTGGAGCCCGTGGGGCTGTGGAGCCCCGTGGGGCCCGGGGGAGGGAAGCAGGGCAGGGTAGGGGTGGAAGGGCTGCTGCTGCCTGCTCGGATGGGACAGAGCCCTGGGGCAATGCAGGCAGGGCCAGGGGTGGCCAGGGCTTGGCACTGGGCTGGGTCTCTGAGCTGAGGGACACTGCTTGTCCAGAGAGCTCTCCGTGGGGTGGGAATCATTCAGTGCAGCAGCGCTGCTCCTCTGTCCTGCTGGTGTTGGTACAGGACAGCATTCCGTGTTCCCCCTCCTCCTCCATCTGCTTTGTTTCCCCTTGGCTGTCCCCAAAACCAAATCCACAGTCCAGGGGTGGAAGGGCTCAGCGTGTTTGAAAGATCAAGTATGTTCTAACTTGACTCTGAGCCTTGGGTAGTTGGATGTTTATGAAAATTAGGCCTTAAATCTTCTCAGCATTTCACAAAGTGCAAACCCATTTCTTAAGTCAGGCCTGGAGGGGAGGAAAATGGTAATGTTGGTGGCACTTAGCAGAGTGAAAGCTGTGCTCCAAGGTCAGCATGTGCAGGGAATGGGAATCATTCCAACCAGACAGAGCACTGATGCCATTTGTGCTCTGTCAGCATTAGGTGTTTGCAGGATGAGCTGTGGAGGATGTCTGGGAATGCAGCTCCCTCCCTGTACAGAGGGTGGGCTCCTCTTGACCATGGATGTTTCTGTACAGAGGGTGGGCTCGTCTTGGCCGTGGATGTTTCTGTACAGAAGGTGGGCTCCTCATGGCCATGGATGTTTCTTTGTGAAGGGAGAGGAGCAGTCCTGACCAGGCTCCAGTGGCTGTGGCTGTGCAGTGCCCTGCTGAAGGGCACACCCTGACCCCAGCAGGGCAGGAGCTTGGGGGGCATTGCCATGAGCATTTTTCTGTTCCCTCACCTGTCTGTGCTCTGGGGCAGAATTCATGGCTCTGGCCAGGAGAGAAAGATGAGGAGCAGTATTTGCACAAGCTGACCTTAATGAAGATTTTCTTACCAGTTGCAGTGAGGACGGTGTCTTTAAAAATAACAGGTAAAGATTTGTGTGAAGTGTAAAGAATTTATTTCATTGCCCTCTACTAAAGAGATTATTTTGAGAAAATGTGTCAGTTTCTGCATCACCTTGTTCGAAAACTTAGCAACAGAGAGTTGCTAAGTTAAGAGTTATACTTGCCTAAATAGAAAAGTAGAAAAGTAGTAGTCCTTGCTGAAAAGAATCTCTGGTGTTCTTCATCCATAGGGAAGAAGAATGTTTTTACTGTCAAGTTAATCTTTGTTTCCTAGTCAGGGTAAGTCGACAGTGAGTCAGGGTTACTCTGACAGTGAGTCAGAGGAATAAACACATTGACTCTGGGAGCTCGAGAGAGCAGGTGCTGTCACTGCTGATACAGTGATTGAGCAGGACTGCAGGAGGAATTTTAAGGAGATATATTGCTTTTAGTGCAGTTGAGACTGTTCTGTGTGAGTTCTTCCTAGGAAGATTCACAGCTCTGTCTGTTCCTTGGAATTTATTTATGTGGAAGTCCTAGATTCCCAGCAACTCTGCTTCACTGCTGCTTCAGCAATAGACAAGTAAACAGGCTGTAAAATGGGAACCAGGAGCCTGATGAAGGACACTTGGTTTTTGTGGGTGTTACAGATCTGAAGGAAAAAAGTGGGAGGCTCTTTATGCTGTTGTTCAAGCAGAGGGAGGGTACTGGAGGGGAGGATGTTAAGAAACCATCCATCTTCAGTTAAACAGGTGATTTTTAACTCCCTGCCCTGACCCTTCTCAGCAGCTGAGGAGGGTTTGGGCAGTGGCTGTTCTGCTGGATCTGGGCTCGCTGGCACCTGCTTGATTCATCTCTCAGCCTTCAAAGGGAAGGACACTACTCTGCTCATAAACTGAGCATTGTCAGCTGTGCTGCAGTTGCTGCTTTGTGCCAGGGAGGTCCAATTCTCTCAGCCCTGAGCTCATAGCAGTCTGTTAAGTTCTTGAGAGTATCGCAGATAACGCTGGGGCCATACACAATATGCAGAGGCTTTTGAACATGATGTAGAACTGATTCTTGCCATAGGATCAGCTCCCAGGTGAGCTGGCCAGGCTGGTGATGGCAGAGGCTGGACCCCTCCATCACTGCTTTCTCTGGGCTTGCTGAATGATGGATGAGCTTCCAGCCTAGCTGTGCTTTGTGCTCTCTGGTCACACCTGTCAGAGTTTCTGTGGTTAGTGAGAAAGCTGGGTAATGCACTCTGGTGCTGAGGGGGGTGGGGGGCAGGTGACAGTGTTCTCTCAGAGATCCCAGGGCTGTGCCAGGAGCATCCACTGTGCCCTTGCTCTTCTGTCCCTGGGCCTGGGGTTTGGGACCATGAGATGTCATCACCCAGCTGCTCATGAGTCCAGGAAACCAGTGTGGGGCCGCTCCCTCCTCTTTTGCCCTCAGTCCTCGCATTTTCACAGCCAGAAAAGAGCGTGTGTTGGCAAGCAAGTGTTCAAGTTCTCCCCAGCATCCAGTGTGCTAGCTGAGTGTTTTCTCCTGGGTGCTTTAGGCAGCAGCTGTTGAATTTGGTGTTGGAAGCTCCCCCGGTTCCATCCCCCCCGGCCCACAGCCAGCCTCCGGCTGCCGAGAGCCACTGGAGTCCTGTTCCTCAGCCAGAGTCTGAAGAGGTGCCAGGCATTGACAGCTCCTTGAGAAAGGACAAAGTCTGCACCTCCACGAAGGCAGGTGGCCTGGCATGGACTGGTCAGAAGAGTTTCGAAACTGAGGAGCACCATGACTTGCACAGCACTTCTGCAGAGCTTGGTGGTAAAGACAGCACAGTGAAATCACAAGAGATTCCTGGGTGCATCGAAAGTCATGAAAAGCCTTCAACATCTGTGCTCAAAGGAGTCAGGAAAGGTGAGGTGTTGGATTTCTGGTTATGTCCTGCTCTCTCCCCCACGTGTGGCTGGCTGTATGTGTTAGGGGACCCTCAGAACAGGACACTCATCCATCCCATTTCTCCTGTGGTTCTGGTCTGTGCTGGCCCGTTCAGCTCCTTCCCCTTTAACTGGCCCGTGCTCCCTTCACACCGCTGCCTGTGTGGGACAGCTCTGCTCCCAGCGTGCTTTCATGAGAAAGCTTGAGCTGCTGCCAAGGAATTAAACGGAAATCGGTGCTTATGGATTCCTTTGCTTTGAGTAACAACACTGAAAAACAATAGTTGTGCAACAGTCTTAGTAAAAATGAAGTAATTTCTCTTCTCCTTCCCCCTAATGACTAGACAGACACTGGCATTTGTTCTGCTCTTGTATCCTTGAGCAGGTTATTTTATAACATGTTTGTTATTTGAGGGGTGAGCCTGAACTCAAAATGAGCATGGCAGCGGTTCTGTTAATATTTCTGTTCCCACACTCCCAGAAGAGTCATCTGCATTACTCTTTTCTAATTCTAGAGAGTTAAGATGAATTTACTTCGAAGTATGAAAATGCTCATTTATACCAATCAAACACAATAAAATGGCAGAACCCTCTTAGTTCTGGTGTGCTGGCAGCCATCCTATTGACCTAGCTAAAAGCCTAAATTAAAACAAAACACCATGTAGGAGTACACCCTTGGTTCTTACTAGTTCAAATTTAGCTGTTGTTTTGTTTCATGATTTATTCATCTGGAACTCTGAAGTTCATATGTATTCATTAGCTGGATGAATCCTGGAAAGGAGCCACAGGAAACCTGCCGTGGTTTTACATCAGATCTGCTTGTATTGTCAAGTTAAAACTCACATGAAATTTTACTGCTTGTTTATTTTTGAGCAATTAAAACTTTCCCGTTCTGTGATCTTTCGGAATCTTTGAGCATGCATCACATGGAAATTATTTCCACAAGTGCAAAGTAGCTGGTCAAGACAGACTCCTACAGAAACAGCTGCAGTGAGAGGGTTTAGTGTTATTTGTTCTGTTCTGAGAACTCACATGTAACTTCAGTGCAGTAACAGCTCAGGACTGGTGTGCTTTGTTACTGTCCCAACTATTGGTTTCTCAGAGGAAAGCATTTGCTCTTTGCTGTCATATCCACACCAGTGAATTCCTTCTCCCTTGCTTTCAGTGGAATGTCCTGTGTGTGAGGTTGCTGTTCTAGAGCAGTACATAAACAAACATCTGGATAGCTGCTTGGCCAGAGGGGAGAAGAAGGACAGCCTCCGAAGGTAAGGAGCAGCTGAGAGCTTCCAAACTCACGTGGTGGTGGGAGCACTGCTGAGCTGAGAGCTGCTGTGCTGGGCTGTAGTAGTAGTGCTTTGGGTTTGTTTCTGGCTTCCCTGCTGTGTAGAGCACTCTGAAATCACTGTGGGGATTGTCTCCCATTGAGAAAGGGAGTGGGTTGCCAACTCAATTGCTCTTTGGCTTTTAGTGGCAAGAAGACAGTGGCCAGTGCTTTACAAAAATTCAGCACAGGGAGAACTTAGTCTGTGTGTTGTTCTTGTCACCTTTCTGCTCCCTGGCATTAAAATTCCCTTCAGATAATACCGATTCCCATTTTTCATTTGGCAAAGGAATTGCTTCCTTCGGTTCAGGTGTGCCAAGAGACATTTTCTTCAATAGCTGTCAAGTTAAAGAATAAAAATTGCACCTTTCTGTCCTCTCTGTGGGGCTCTTGAGGTTTCCTGAAGATCTGGATTTCCATAAGATTAATGCATTCCTTTGGCTCTGTGCCTTTGCCCCAGCATTGGTCACGGTCACCACATTCACATCAGAAGTGGAGTTGCAGTTTGTTTTACTTACAGCAGAAATTTAGGCTGTTGTTATTTCTGACTGATCAGACTGAAGAACTGGGAGGATTTGTGCTTCAATGCTTGTTTTTCCAATTCCCCTGAACCCTGAATTGGAAAGTAATTTTATGGTAAAGCTCTTGTTTTGCCCAGTCATGCTAAGAGTGCAGTCTTTAAGCTAAAGGGCTTTCAAGATGAAAAAATGGTAAATGAATATTGAAATCTGATTTAATTTCCATTTGGAGTGGTTTAGCGCTTTCTGTGTTCTTAATAAATGGCAAAATAAGCCAGATCTGTCCTTGGTGTCAAACCCATGTCCCTCACAGGATTTAAAGTCCTGCTTATTTAATCTCTAGGCTGCCTAGGCCTTTGGCAGGGGTCACAGCAGGCACTGCCCCTGGGGACGGGCAGCCGTGGGCAGCGCTGGTCCCTGACAGTGCCCATGCTGTGCCAGTGTGTGTGCTGCTGGCAGCTCCTCTGAGCCTGTGAGCTCTGCTTCTTCTCAAGCCAGTTCAGCACAGCTGCTCTTTAGCCCCCAGAGCCCCACAGGGGTGATTCCAACATGTGAATGTGTTTCCAGGCAACACCCTGTTTCTCAGGCGTGGGGCAACCCAACCAACATTAGGATTTAAACCTGTTGTGAGGTGTTTTCCTGGGGCTGGCTGCTGGAAAGCTGTCAGCACACCTTAGGTCATGCTGCTGCTGCTGAGCTGGAATAGACACCAAGCTTCTGCAGGACTTTCAAAATATTTAATTATTCAGTAAAATTTTTTATATTTCCCAAAAGAATCTGAAAAAAGCTTCCCTGAAGGGTGTATTGTGGTAATCCATCTTCTGTTTACCAGCCATGCTACAGGGCTGGATGAGAGTAAAAGAACTATTGACAGTTTTTGTGTAAGACTTCGTTTTTTTAACCTTGAAATTTCAATATGATAAGTTGAAAGTGCTGAATAGTTTCCAAATAGGTCCCTCATTTTCACAGTGGAAAGCTGTTAGCTGCTCTCTAATTCAGAGTAATGCAGCTGAGCTTTATTTTGCTGCAGAAAGAAAAATGTCCAATTAAATGTTGTTCCTCTATGAATTACTGCAGTTGCAGAAGATGGATAAGGCTGCAGATGGGTTTTGGCCCCTTTGTTTTTCCTGGTTTGAGAGTATCTCACCAGGAGGTGAAGGGAAGCCTGAGCTAATTTGACAGGAGGAAATGTTCTGCTAATTTTAGGTGACAAAAGCTGTACTAGAACTTGAATTTTCTCTGGCAGTTTCCTGTAATTAAGATGTTTTCCTCAGCTGTGCCAGGAATGTTGAGTCCTGACAGAAAGCAGTGGAAATCAGTAAATTTTGGCTTTAGATGTTATTCCTCTCAGAGCACTATGACTTATCTTTAATGTCTCTCTCTGTATCACCAAACCACCTTTCTGTTAGCTGGGAACTGCTGCCTTCAGGTACATGACTGGTTTTCTCAAAGACATTTTTTCAGAAAGCTGAAAAATCTCCTAATTTGAGTTTTGGCTTGATGTTCTAATAATTTTAGTATTTCTTCAGCTGATTCAGGTAAGCCATGGCCAGTACTGGGGTGGAAAACCCAAGTTTCTTTCATGTGTATGTTATCCTGAGTGGGTGAAGTACCCTTAAATAATTGTAAATAGTTTGATTTTCATAGGAGTATTAATTAAATAAGGTCTCTTTTGTTTTCCTTTGGCAGTTCTGATCACAAAAGGAAGCTGATGTCCAAAGTTGTTTATAACCTGCTGTCAGATCGAGATCTGAGGAAGAAGCTCAAGGAGCACGGTCTGTCTGCCTCTGGCACCCGCCAGCAGCTCATCAAGAGACACCAGGAGTTTGTGCACATGTACAATGCCCAGTGTGATTCCCTCAACCCCAAATCAGGTCAGTGAGAGGCTGCAGGGAGGTTCTGCAATCCCAAAGCTTCAGTCTGCATTTCCCCTCTGCTGGCTCTCGGGGTAGGCAGAGCACTGTTGGATTGCTGGGGGGATTTATCTTGGTAAGTCAAGATCAGTGCAGAATAGTGCTTCAGCCTGCTGGGGGTGCTGGCTGAGCCTTCTCTCAGTGCTGCTGGTGGGTGCAGAGGCTCCAGCCTCTGCCTCACTCCTCCAGAGGGAAGGAAGAGTTCTGGGCTGTGTGGCGTGCACTCCAGCTGCTCTCCCAGTCATGCCAAACTCCTCCTACGTTCAGCACAAAGGGGGAATTATTAAACCCACTCTGAAGATGCAGACATGCATTTTGGGTGGTAGCAGGGAGCCTGTGGAACACCAGTAGCTGAGCTTCTGAGGAAGCACAGGTGCCAAATTCCTGGAGTGTGCTTAAACCAGTTTGGAACAGGTTTTATTCTTTTGCAGCTTAATGAGCTTTTGTTCTGCCTGCTTCACTGTATGGTGAAGTGTTTGTTTTAATAACTGCCCACAGCTGCCTGGCAGTGCTGTGGACATGATGAAATCCAGAAAGAGATTTGTAAAAGTAAATGGCAAAGTAAACTGTGCAGGGTTCTGCATAGCTGTGGCTCTAATTAAATGTTAGTTATGTTGTCTATAGGCTTTGGCTGTGTCTGACAATTGGTGAAGTCAGCTGTAATTCCTCTGTGGGCTGTGGGCTTTCCTTTTGAGCCTGCACATGGTTCTGCTGCCCTGGGAGGTGGTCTGGGGGACAAAGTAAGATAAACAATAGATGCAATTACTGTGTCTTCCATTGAAACATCCAGTGTAGAATAGAAAGTTTCTCTAAATGATGGCCTATGTGCCACAAGCACTGTCGTGTGCAGGAGGGAGGTTTGGTAGGATTTGGAAAGCACATTTGCCTGGGGTTGGAGTCTGAGCTTTCCCTCTTGGAGGGCTAATGCTGTTTGTGTTTGAAATTCAGGGTAGTTTCAGTCTGTGCTGTTACAGCTTTTTATTGCCCAGCTCCTTATTCAGTGATCTCTTTCTTGTATTTCCAAACAGTTGCAGAGATTGTTAAAGAGCTGGAAAAGAACGAGAAGATTCGGGTTCAGCTGGAGTGTAATAAACCTGGTGAAAATGTAAGTGACTTGTCTTGGTTCTCACAAGGGGGTGGCCAGCAGAAATGGGAATGTCTGCCTATTGCTTTATTGTGGGAGTTCCCAGCTTGCATATTAGAATTCACATTTAGCATCCTGTAATGAACCTGATTTTCACACACCACACATTTGTTATGGGCAGATCTGGGTGCACTGCTGAACTTTATGCCCAAACCCTTTAAGAAGAAGCAATTTTTTACTGCAATAAAAATTCTTGAGTAAAGTTCTCCTTGGCCATGCTGGAGGATTTTGACCTTCGATGGCAGTATGGGGAATATTTTGCTTCCTAGAATTCTCTAGGATTTAGCTAGCAAATTCCATGCTTCCCTATCAGCAATAGTGCCTGTTCTTTTCCCATGACATCTGATACTTTGGTGACTTTGAAGCCTGTTTGTTGCACAGTGGTAGGAAATATTTTATGGCCCACATGTGCTGGGTGTTTAATGGGCTGGCTTGGTCCTGGTGACTCGGTGGAAGCAGGGCAGGACACTGTGGATATGTTCTGGAAATGAGGATTAAAGTGATGAGGTACTGAAAGCTGGGAGGGGAAAACAGTTACTTCTTCCAGTTTTAAGTCTGTAATTTCAAAGTCTGCAGCTTTATCATCTTTTTATTTATGTTAAAAACATTTGTGTGATTTCTGTAGAGCTTGACCTTCACAAAGGACCAGACAGAGGAAGAAATAGATGAGATCCACACTGACTATCGTAAGTAACATGCAAATTTCACCTCATTTTGCTTTTAAATCTCTCTTCTTTTCCTTTGAGCTGAAATACACACACTGATTGCCTCCACAGGCTTCTCTATTTATGCACTTTGTTCTTTCTTAGTGTCCTGCCATGCTTGCTGGCCATGGAAGCAGCAGGGCAGGGTGTGGATGTGCTGTTGTGTGCTCACTGGGAGCCCTGTGCAGCAGAACTGCTCTGAAAGCCTTCCTGAGCCCCCCAGGGCACTGCCCTCCTGCTCCTGCTTCTGTTTGCTTGGCCTGTTGTACGCTTTTCGAACAAAAATACATTCAATGCTGTCTTAATTTTTCACAGACCGGTATTTGATTGAGTTTCAATTGCTGAAAGGGCACAGCTACAAAATAATCACTTGGAGATCCTGATAAGTAGATTAACTGAAAATTGGAAAGTTAAAAAAATAGGAAAAAGGGGAAGGCAGAAAAGTATTTTAGTGAGAAGATACAGTTTTAAAATTAATAAAAAAATACTGACCAAAGAGGCAAAGGGTAACTGGTGTCAGGTAATTATTTCTCATAAAATAAGGAAGAAATCATAAGCATGAAAAAAAGAACTGTATGTTAGAATTCAAGAACAGTTTGAGATTAAAGAACTCTTATCAAATGCCATTATTTCACTGTAAAACAGATGGACTTGGAAAAGCTTTGTTATACAATGAAGGATTTTTTTCCCCCTTTTATTTTACAGCATTTACACCCCAGACTCTTAATTCCCAGATGAATTAATGAATGAACTGTGGTGTAAATTCTGAATAAAAACCCTCAAATGTATTTTTGTCCTGCTTTTCCGTATCAAAAAACACACTGGGGCTGTGAACAGCTCTGGGGAAAGGCAGGACAAACTGTTTGGGAGAAAACACTTTTTTTCTGCTTCTTTGCACTTCCCCAGGCTCTTGGCAATTTGCACTGTTGGCATTTTTCTGCTGGTTCTGAAATAGCAATTAATACTTTGGCTTGATGAAGCTGAGGGTGGGAGCTGGCTGGGAGCTCTGCCTGGCAGTTCCAGCCACTGTCATTTCCTTCTGCCCCACAGGACTCGGGGACACCCTCAGCCCACTCTGCTTTTTTCATGGTCTCTATTTAAACAGTTAAAAATCTACAGGAAAAGAAATACATCTATGAAAAAAAATTACTTCGTTGCCTTTTCTGCTTATAAATCTTTCTATTTGCCATGTTCTTTGGAGGTCTGCTGCTTTGTCCTGTGATTTAAATATTTGTCGTTCTGTCTGGGGCTGGTTTGCGTTGCTGCAGTTGGTGGGATGTGCTTGGGGTGTCGTTCAGCACCACAGTGATTTACAGCGTCGCTGAGCAGTGCTCGTGTGCCAGCACATTTCTTTTCCAAAAGCTTTGTAGTTCTGCCATGAGCCAGCACAACAAAAGATAGTAATGCTGGAAAAACTGAAGCGCCAGAGGAATTCCGTAATGAGAGTGCAGCAGCTCAGACACGGCATCTGGGACAGAACTTGCTTTTTATTGACAGAACTTTTGGCCTTATGTGGTGTTTTCAGCTACTCAGGGAAGGGGAGTCTGTGTCAAATCTGTTTCCTTCTGTGGGGCTGAACTTGGTGTTTTATCATAGCATACATCAAAGAATTTCTCCACTGGAAGGGTGGTCATTGTTGGAATGGGCTCCTCAGGGAGGTGACACAGTGCTTGACAGTCCTTTCTGAGAAGAAATTCCTGCTGGTGTCTGCCCTGAGCCTCCCCAGCCCAGCCTGGGGCCATTCCCTCTCCTCCTGTCCCTGTCCCTGGGAGCAGAGCCTGACCCACACCTGGCTGCCCCTCCTGTCCCCCTGCCTGGCCACGTTAGGTGACCCACAGCATCCTCGGGGGACATCAGGTATTGTCCCAGGCTCTGAGTAAAGCATTTGCAGTATCCAGCTTAAACAATTCCATTGCTTTGGCTGAGCACCAGAGGGGTGCTTAAAATGTGATTGAAAGTGCAGAGAGTATTTCATTATTAACTTACTTAAAGGATCTGAGTCCCAGCAGTGTAATGGCATGACACAGAGCACAGATGAACAGAAATGTTCATCTGTGCTGCTGCTCTGGACTGTGGGCAGCTCTGTGAAAGCACAGACACACATTTGGATTGTTAATAGAATGTGGGACATATCACAGTGCTGGGTTGGTTTTCATCTGCTGTAACAAAAATGCTTTTAATTCAGTTTTTGGTGTCCATTTCTGTTCATGTCCTTTCAGTGTTTGTGCCATACCTTAGTCCTGTGGGACTGGTCACTGATGCTCTGTACCTTTCAGGAAACAAACACAGAAGTGAATTCAAGTTTTTGGTGGATCAAGTAAATAAACGGTGGAAGAAAATAGGTGAGAGGAAAGCAGAAAGTGCTCAAAACAAAGAGGAAGTTGCTGTCAAAGAGCTGCCAGCAGCCATAGGTCAGTCACATTTCTTGTTGTTCCCTCTTGGACCACACTAAGAAGTGCTGGATTCCCAAAGAAATGGTCTTTCATCTGTTGTTGTTCTTCTAGAACTTTTAAGGGGAAAAAAGTCCAACCAGCATAAAGATCAGACTTTAAAGTGATTTACTGCTATTGATTTTAGTGTGGAACACAGACACGACCCATAATAAACATATTTGGTTTCTGTGTGGTGTGTGTGGATGTGCTTTATCTGGGGCACATTCCAGTGGGTTGAAAAGGGGTGACAGGTTCTGGTTCAGGTTTGCTGGAGGTGCTGAGGGTGGCCACATGAAATGCAGGTGAAGGTGGGTGCTGCTTGCTGCCTTTCAGCCTTCCAGCATCCTTACTGTGGGAGGGGGTTGGTAATTGGGAACTGCAGAAGTATTTGTGGGGATTGGAATCAGGAATTTTTTGTCCTGGGACTGAAGCAATAAAATCCTTGGCCTTGTTTGAGGCTGTTCATGCAGGATGTTGCCCGTCTGACTTGCTGTGGTTTGTGTTCCACTGGAGCATAGTGGGAGGTGGGAATGCATGGCTGCAGCTCCTCCCTGCCTGGGAGGAAGGAGCAGCCTGGGGTTCTCCATCCTCCCCAAACATCGCCTGGCTCTGCCCTGGGAGTGCTGCCGCAGCATCCTTTGGTCTCCTCTGGGTTCCTGTGCTTCCTGCCTGCTTTGGCAGGGAACATCTGTCTTTGAATGTGGGATTTAGGAGAGCATTCCTCAGCCTAATAGAACTTGTGGTTTCTAATCTGTTTGAGAGACAGTTCTGGAGAGTCCCCCTGGCCAAAACGGGACACGCTGTTGTCAGCACGCTCAGGAAAACGTGGCAGTGTCGTTTGCCCCAGCTCTCAAAAATCCCTGTGCTCTTGAGCTGACTTCATCTGTGCCTCTCTCCAGTGCTGCCTCTTCTAGCAGAGCTCTGCAGAATAAAAAGAAATGAAGAGAAAAGTACAACAGTATGAATTTTATCCTTATTGTTTTGTGCAGACCGTGGCGCAGTGCTTAATCCATTCTGTGTGAAGGGTAAAAGCTAAGGAGTCTCAGGGATAAAAGATTTTAACCTCTATAGCAGAAGAAGAGGCAATGTGTTACTGGGTAGTGGGGTCACAGCTCTGGAAGGGAGGGATGGGCTGCTGTGGATTTTGGGGTTTCTGTCTCGTGTGTGCTGCCCTGCAGGCTCCGAGAAGAGCTGATGTAAAACTATGGAGTTTTTCCAAAAGAGTGATCAGGTAGAAAATAACTTGGATCAGATGTATCATTCTGCATCATGTTCACAATGTGGCAGCACCTCATTTGGTTCTGGCAAACCTGCACAATTTCCATTACACTTTGTTCCCTGAGCTTCCAATAATCCTTGGAATTTCAGGTTTGGGTTTTTGCAAAACATCTGCACCCAGAGGACTGTTTATAAACAGCTGAAACACAAAAAGGTGATTTACAGGGGAGGGAGCAGATGCCTAAAGCCTCTTTCCTCTTGGTTCCTTGTTAGCAGCAACTGCCTTTGTATTAAACTGGGAATTGCAGCATGGCAAAGCAAGAAGGCAATAGTGGCCTGATGTAAGCTGGCAGGGCAAGGCTTTGTCTGCATCCTCACCACTGCACCACTGGCTTTGTGTTCTCATGGAAGTGGTGGAATTGTACAGAATTAAAACTGATGTTTGGATTGGTTTGGGTTTTGTTGGTTTGTTCATTTATTTTAATTTCCTCCTCCATCTCTCCCGTTGCCTCTCCTGTACTATTAGTTGGTGTAATTTAGCCTCACTCTGTGGTGACATTTTAATCATCTGTTCTTGATTTACGTCATCTTGCTTTTCATCTTTAAGTTTAAAATATGTTTCCCAGTCTTTATAACTTTTAAACATGGGGCTGTGCTTTGTCTAAGGGGAAGGCGCCATAAGGATTTGATGTATACTGGTGCTAAATAATTTGATTCAATAAATATTAACTGTGCTGGGCTGCATTATTGCACAGGCCTTTGCTATTTTTACCCTGCTAATTTCAGAGAGTTGTGTTTCATTAGTTGGACAACCGACTCACTGGGATCTGCTGGCTGTTTTCAGCAGACAAAAATATGCCCCTGATATTTAATTATGCTTGTTAGCAGGAGAGAAAGGGCAAACTGAGCTGAATCCAAAGATGGTGAAGCCCCTCCACACTCTAATTAAAGTTCTGCTTGGCCCTTTCTGTGCTGGCCATTGCTGGAGAGGCAGAGCAGGAGTGGTTTGAGCAGGAGCAGGGTTTGGGCCCTGGGTGGAGCCAGGACATGGCTGTGACTGTCACATCAGTACCAGTGAGATGGGTCTGGGCAGCCTTACTGTCCTGAGCAATTTGTCAGTTAAGTGACTCACTTGCAAATATCTGTGGGCATGGCATGAGGCCAGTCTGTCTTTTCAGACCAGAATTTTTGACATGTATCTGTTTTCTCTTTGGAGGGGCAGAAGGTGTCTTTTCAGATAATTGCTCATCTTTTCATTGAACAAAACACTTGACACAAAAAGCAGAAGAATGGTTTTCAATTTTTGTCTGTTGTGTTGCCTAGAAATTATTTTTCCTGTTGAAATGGAAATGTCAGTGTACTGACTTTGTGTTAGCTGCATAAGGAAGTAAATCACAACTGAAAATAAGCCTGTTAACTTGGCCTGTAAAACTTAAAGCTCAGGCTGTCTGATACAGGGCTGAAGGGAGTTGGTAGAACAAGCAGCCAACAACACTCATTAAGTGCTTGCTAGTTTCTGAAATAAACTTCCATCCTATGAAATGTGTACCACATTCTCACCCTTTATTTCTCTCCTTGTGTTTGAAACTCAACAGTGAAACATTTCTGGTTCTCAGGGAATTGTTGGTTGGTGTATTTTTTTTAAATATACACAAAAAGAAATTCAACCTTTGAAGCTGTCAAAGTTTTGGAAAATAAGTATGTGGGAATGAGATGTTGGTATTTAAATGTTTATAACTTAATTTTTTCTTAAAAATCTTATCTCTGGGCTGCAGAATCCTAAACAATAATATTTTGCATTGTCATTCTAATCTCTGTCTTTCCTCTTGGTAGAACCTGGGGAAGAGGATCATAGAGCTGCTGTCCCTGGAAAAGCCCAAGCACTCCAGTCAGAAGTTCCTGATGGCCAAAGAAGTGACACTGACAGCTTGAAGGAATGGCAGAGATCATCCTCCCCTGAGCTGTCCCTGTCATCTGGCTCCTCGTGCAGGTCAGTGAGGCAGCCACTGCTGTGTGCTGGTGAGAGCCAGAGCTGTGGCACTGCCAGGAGAGCAGTGCAGCCAGGCTGGCAGAGCTGTGGCACTGCCAGGAGAGCAGTGCAGGCAGGCTGGCAGAGCTGTGG